CACTGCTTGACTACACGAACGAGAGGGTGAGCTGCCTTCTAGAGTTCAGTAAGGGTTGCAAGTAGTCCTCTTTTCTTCATTCGCCTGCACTGTAAGGGCATGAGTCTTCTTCGTCACAGAGGGCAGGTTGGCTATCTTCTACTTGACCCAACCGGCGTTTTTAGTTGAGAAGGAAACATGGCACTAAAATGACTCTCTGCTTTTCTTTTGGTAGAGCGACCACGTGGTTTCACCATAGCTCGTCAAGGTCGATCGTCTGATTTATTTCTACCATACGACGTCGTTGCGGCATCCTTAATTTTAGACGAAATTCCGCAAAGACCATAGGATGATCAGACGCAATGGTCGCCCCACATCTGAAGCAAGATTCAAGTAACGAGCTGCGCCGTTTTGCGACTGATGAAGACGTGGTCCAGTTGAGTGTTTAGACTTCCTTTGTTATCTAGTGAGTTCGCTTATGAGGAAAGAATGCCCCCTGTCATGTAACCCGCATATCGCTCAAACGCTTAACCGATGCTTGCCGCTGTCGTTCTCGGTGTCAATACCATTATGGCCAAGTACGCCTGGCCCGTACTCAACGTCAACTTTAGCGTTGAAGTCCCCTGGGACACCGGTGATCTTGTGTAGCGATAAAGCACTAATAATTGACTGCAAGAAGTGGGAGAAAGCGTCTCGATACATTTGTCAGGGTATAAGCGACAGTGACATTCATGCAACAGAAATGGATTCTTTCTGACACCTGTTCCATTAAAACGACAGCCCGGCTTATTCTAAGGAAAAAGACTTTTGCTGCTGTAAAGGACATGAGTTACTAAGACTCAACCTTGCTCAAGATTGCTGTGCCAACAGCTCAAACGGTGTACCGCCGGTAGAGCAGCAAATATACCCTGCGTAAGTAAAAAGGCAAAGCACCCTTGGGTCTCGACGGAAACCCTCATTTTTTTGCCAAAGAAGAAACGCAATGATACAGGAGTTCTTAGAGAACCCTGAAGAGATGAAGAAGCAAGAGTATCGGCACCTCGCGAAAGCAACCAACAAGATTTACCACCGTGGTAAGCGACACTGAATGGAATTCGAAGCGCAGAACCTGGAAGAGGCAGCTTTAAAGAAGGACTGTAAGACGCTGTACATCATCAATGGCAGCAAGCGTAAGTCCCTAACTAATTTTATTCGCAGCAGCTGCAACGAACCCCTTCAAGTTTCAGAAAGCCGTCATAGCGGATGAGGTTAACACTGCGATCAGCTCCGAAACCGGCCCGCTCCATTGGATTACCTCAAAATAGAGTTTGAAGTCTGGGA